TTGCAGGTTTGGTCTTCAGTTGGGGCACAAACAGGAGGCAAACCATCAATGTTTCTCTCTCACATTGATGTTTCTCCCCCCCTCCCCTTTCCCTTCTCTCTCTCTAAAAAGAATCAATAAACATATCCTCTGGTGAGGATTAAAAATAAATAAATAAACAAATAGCATCCAAGGTCATTTTTGCCTTCAGGCAGGTTAGGAACTTTGTAATGACCTGACGTTTGGTGCCTGTTCTGAACGGCCCCCGAGGGAGTCTGTGCTGCCCCTTCCAGGGCTCTAGACTCTAGAGTCCAGAGGGATGGTCCCACACTCAGGACATTCTGGTGGCACTAGGGGCAGCAGGGAGTCCTCGAGAGCACTGTGGTGACAGGCAGGTTTTTTCTCACTATTTAGTTATCCTCAGGAACTAGGAGTCTGGGGAGGGGGCCTGCTCTTAGCTGCCCTTAGCTGCCTTTAGCTGCCCTTACCTTAATTCCCTCTCCTACTGCTCAGAGCATCTTCTGCCTTCTAATGGTTCCAGATGACACGAACAAGGCCCAGATCTGGCCCTGATCTGGCCCACTGGCAGGTGTGATAAGCCCTTAGATGAAGAGATTCCCTGGGAATTTGAGGTTGAGAATCAAAAAATACCTAGTATGTGCTCCCTGAACCTGAGTAATTCCAGTCTTGCCATTCAGCCAGAGATGGACACATTAACAGGTAACTCAATCTAACATGGGTAGGATCTAAGAGAAGTGTGAAGAGAGGACTAGGGAAGCACAGAGGAGTGAATGGCTCAACCGATCTGTAAGCAGAAGGTGACATCTGAGAGCTGAGTCTCAAAGAGTGAATGAATAGAAGCTAAACAGATGGAAAAGTCGTTTCAGGCTTGTCTGTCTTCTGTTTCTTCTTTTAGAGAATCACCCTCCCCCCCATACAGTAATCCTGCTAGCTCTGCTTCTCTTTTCCTATGGTGGGCATATGACCCAAACCCCCAACACAGTAACAATCCCCCGGAGGACTCAGGGACAGGTAGAGTAGCCTGGCCAATCAGAAAACTGTCTAGGAGTAATGCTTACACTCTGGGAAAGCAGCTCCCATTCCCAGCAGAAGTTTTGGTGCAAAGATGACTACTGAGGGCTGTAAGCTACTGATGTGTTACCAAATGAAGAGCACTGGCCAGGGTCAAAGAGGGCAGAGGCGAGGGGCAATGTGAGATGAAAGGATGTGAGGGTCTCATGCTGGCATTCAATTCCTAGATCCCCTGAACTTCCAAGTATGTCAACCAATAAATTCTCTCTATTTGTTAAAGCAAAATGACTCTAACAAATGGAGAGAGAAACAACATCTGCAAAAGGAAGAATCCGAAGAGGTCAGGGTATGCCTGAGGGTGGTGAAAGGGCCAGAGCAGGGCCGGAAGGTTGTGAGTGAGCAGGTACTAGGAAGGGGGGCTGGGTGTGTTCCTTGGGCCTGGAATCATTAGGATTTGAGGCGTGAGAATGATGCTGGCAGATGTGTGTTCAGAATGTAGATCTGGTGTCAGTGTGGACAAATGCCTGAGCCAAAAGAGACTGGACCCTGGAGTCCAGGAGAAAGCAACTAGAACAGGCTGGTAGATAAATGACAAGGCCTCTGGGCCTCAGAAAGCCTAGAAAGCAAGAGGTAGAGTTGAGAGATATTTAGGAAACAGAGTAGACAGAGATCAGTGTGATACTGTGATTTGCAATAAAAAATGGATATTTGGCTTTCATCTTTGTATCTGGCACAGAGCTTCTAAAATTTCTTATATGATGAGCACAGAGCTCCTAAAATTTCTTATATGATGAGCATGAGAAAGGTGTCTTTGTTATGTTAATGGTGACTTTTGGAAAGCACCTAAGAAACAGGGGCTGGTTGCCAGGAGAATCAGGTGATTAGAGGGTTGGAAATTTCAGTCTCACTCTCGCCTGCACAGTACCTCCACCCCTGGGAGGGAGGAGGGGCTAGAGATGGAATTCAATCATCAAAGCCCAATTAATTAATCAATCATGTCTATGTAATAAAGCCTCCATAAAAATCCAAAAGGATGTGGTTCTGGGAGCTTCCAGGTTGGTGAATATGCCCCTTACTGTTAGGCAGGATAGATAGTTGCTAGGGCTGGAGGAGGAGAAGGGTAGGGAGGGGAGTTTATCTCATCCACTGAACAAAGAAGTCAGCAGTATTGGGACTCACCAAGATAAAATCACCAGTCTCATAAATTCTGGGAAAAGCCACAACAATGTAAAATGGAGACCTTGAAATCTAGTCTGCTGCCCAAGATATCTGGTAGGGAAACCTTGAAACCTATAGAGGAAGAAAGTATAAAACCCTCAAGCCTCCACCAGGTGGGGTGCTCAGACTAGCTGAGTTGCCCACTTGTGTTTATGCCAAGTGTATTCTTAATACATTTGCATGCTGTGCTTCCTTAATAAATTATCTTGCTTTGCTTTGCTTTGCTTTGCTTTGCTTTGCTTTGCTTTGCTTCAACACTGCTTTCTGTCACTCATTTATCTGAATTTTTTTTCACAAGCCTGACAAAAGCCAATGAGGGGAAAGCCCCCTCCAACTTGGGCAGCTCTCCAGTAACATTTCCACATATCTTACCCTGTGTATCTCTTCCACCTGGTTGTCCCTGTATTACATCCTTTAATAATAAATTGGTAACCTAGCAGGTTTATCTGAGTTCTGTGAGCTGTATTAGTAAGTAAATTGAATCCATGAAGGGGATCATAGACAGTTAAACAACCTGAATTTGTGATTGGTGTTTGAAGTTGAGGGGAGTGGGCAGTGTTATGGGACTGAGGCCTTAATTTGTGGGGTGTGATGTGGTCTCCAGGTGGATAGTGTCAGAACTGAATTGAATTGTGGGACACCCAACTGGTATTGGATAATTGCTTGGTGATGTAGGAAAAAACCCCATGCATTGGATTTGGGTGCAGAATTATCTGGTGACTGGACATGATAGAGGCAGTAGAGGGGTCAGAATAGGCTCTGAATTCAGGCAGCTCCAGGATCTTACTTAATCTCTTTAAACCTCAGTTTCTGCATCTGTAAATTGGGAGCAATAATAGTGCACACTTCATGGAGTTGTGAGGATTAAATGAGATCGTGTATACATAGACCTAAGAAGAAAGGTTCATTTGATGTGAATCCTAAGAAGGAAATTATCTGCCAAGGTGGATTCCTCATGGTCAACTGAGAACCCAAATTTTATAAATAATAATGTTACCATTATAACTAGCTAGTTATTAATAATAGAAAAAAAGTAAAAGGGAGGCCAGACATTATAAGCATGGCCATATGGGCAGCTTCGCCAGGAAGCTGCAACTTTAGAGTCTCCAGGGAACAACTGGTCCATTCCCTGAAAATCACTGAGGAAAGGGGGCCAACAACGGGGAGATGGACACATGCACAGTAAAGTTGGGGTGACATAGGAAGCTTGTTAATTCAACCTAGAAACAAAGATAAAGAGCTAATGGGGCACAGCCACTGCAAGCATGGGAAATCTTAGAAGATTAAAATCCCCAGACAGAGGAATTCTCTCTGTTTCCTCTGGTTTCGCTCCTACTTCCTTGCATTTGCCTGTGTTTGTAGAAGCCACGTGGTCCACGGCCCTGTGGACCCCACACACAATAGACCGATGGCCTACATCTGGGAACACAAGCTGAGCTAACCTGATGCTGGATTGGACTGTGCAAATATGGAGCAGAAACTTTGGTCAACAGCTTTAATCCTAGCTCTGCTAAGGACACAGCTACACTTCTTTCGTGGTGGGATGGAAGGAGAGGGGACTTTGGAAACTCAGGGATTTAATTCCACAGAAATAAAGTTTTCTATAATAGCTCACCCTCCCGTTCGAGTCTCAGAAAATTCCTTTTCTTGTGACATTGCAAAAAGTTCATTTCTTCCAGCAACAGGTGGGGACATGGAGAGCTTCCCACCGATAACAATAGGCACCTAGCCAGCATTAACTGACGGGGTTCTCATATCCTCTGTACACCAGAAAAGCCCCCAGACTGAACTCTCGGTTTCCCATACTATGCCCTGCTCTTTAATCTGGCTGAGTCAACTATTACAAAGGAGTTCATGGTTTCATCTTTCTACCAATGGACTAAGACCTGCCCTGTCCAATCAGAACTACTTCATAATTACCAATCAGGGTACATAATGCCGACCAATCAGGACTGTGCAATTCGGGCCAATCAAAAGTGTACACATTTAAATATCTCACTTACATAAAAGGGACCTAATGGGAATGTGGGTGGGAACTTTTGCTAGAAAAGAAAGCCTCCCCTTTGTCTCCACGGAACACAATTTAGATTGCTACCTGATCTGTGTCTCCTGGGTTGCAACTCTTTTTGCCCAAATAAATGCTTTTAAAAAATTCTTCATTATAATCTATAATTAATTTTGGTTTACCTATGTAAAAGCACTTCACCCAGGGTTTGGCACAAAGTTACACTGGACAGTGATAGCTGTTCTGCGGAAGGGAAGAAAAATGAGAATGGGGGATGATGCTAAATTCTCTAGCTTGAAAATTTGGAGAAATGCTGAGGACAATAATTAGCACAGGAGAATACAAATTTGTTTTTAAAATAGTTGAGTCTGATGTACCTGCAGAACCTGGGGTGAGAATGTCCAGCAAACAGTGGGGTCTCTGACTCGAGGTTTGGAAGACACTGGCCAGTGACGGTCACTGAAGCAACGGCAGAGAGGAGAAGGTTGAGGACAGACAAAGACACTTCAGGGACTGCAAGGAAGGAGGAGTCAGGGAGCCAGCAGGAGGCAGGAGATGTGAAGAGGGAACTGCTTTAAGTGTGGATAAGCTGTTAGAGAACAGGATCCATCTCTGTTTGGGGGCTGTAGGAATTCCTATTTCTTCAGTGGGGAAAATGAGAGCTGAAACCAAAAACCACTTGACTTGCTGCAAAATCTCTGGGCCCACCCACAGGGCTGTCTTCAAGGGACCCAGTGCGGCTGTTAGGTGGCTTGCTGTCCCTTACCTCCAGGTATTGATTAGCCAGGTGTAGGGCACGATCAGTGATGTTAAATATGTCTCTCCAGTCGAAGTTGGTCATGTCATCAGCCCGGCTCTCTCGGGGACCGTTACTGAGGAAGTTCAGCACAGCTTGGGCAGTAATAGTTTCTTCACCAAACTGCTTATTCAGAAAGACTTTTACTGTTGGGTTCGCCAGTGTGTCCTTGGGAAGAAACAATACAGTCACAGCACTTAGAAAATTCTACAGGATCTTTGGTCTTGATCTGGAGGCATTTCCAATTGTTAATGAATAGGTATAGAGACTCAGGCTCCCTAAAACACTAGTGGTTTTTTTCCATCATAAGGCATAGCTATCTATATCCCAGTTCCCCCAAATACATAAGCCTCTATAACAGAGGGAGGATGTGTATGTTGGGGAGGGGAGAGGGGGGCAGGGGAAATGGTATATAGGAAACTTTCTTTTTCTTATGGATCTTTGCATTCTCTTTTAATTATCTCCACTGTATTGAACCCTTGTCTCCTGGCTTTGCAAGGCTGGAAATCAGAACTATCTTTGCAATTACAGAGCTGGCTCCTTGAGGAGATCCTTCTTTGAATCTGAGGCCCTCAAGTGAATTCACAAAAGCAAGAAACCTCAGGAAGCCACTGGTCTTGTGGAAGTTTTTACATTTCCCCAGAACAGAAGAAATGTATTTCCTACCCAAAGTCAGGGACTCCACTTGGTGACAGCTTCTAGAACGGGTGCCTTTGGGCCCTGCTTGTTATATTTTGATCTAACTCCAGTAGTGATTAACCTTTACTGAGGAAAGGAAACAAGGGGCACTTTTCTGGTCCTTCTCCTCCCCTCCCCCGCCATCCGTACTCTGATGATGGTCATCTGTGTGCTCCGGTCAAAGAAGTACCAGACCTGGGGCCCCACTTCTTCCCAGGCTCTGACCAACTTCCTAACACGCTCCAGCTCCTCGAAGGTCGAGTTGGCCTAAAACCAGAGACAAGAACAGAGAGAAGAGAAGTCAGATAGACCCTTCGGTTATACCTTTCCTGCTCATGTCACAAACTCTCAACGTTTAGGAAAGGCTTTTCAAGGATATCTTTAAGTTTTTCAGTTTACTGATATTTTCCAGAACAATCCGCTATTTCCCAGCTTCCCAGACTGACAGGATCTAATTTCTTAGTATCTCAGAAGTACATGTAATATTGATGATGTTATCATCTCAGAACATAAGGAAAGCTGGAGTTGGACTCCCTGTGAGCAAATGCTCTTCCCCCTCCCTCCCTTTGTTTCAGGTAGCCAGGATGCACAGAACGGGGACCCTTCCAGGAGGGATATAATTCAGGTGCTGGGAACAACACCTCATTGGAGGCTGGGTGGAGAGAGAGGGCCCAGGCAGGGGTGCGGGCACAAAGCATTTCGATGATGGGGGAGGAACTCAAGGGCCTACTTAGCAAAAACAAACAGGAGCCTCACTACCAGGGGGCTCTCCCTGCCCCTGTCCCTCTCTCCCATCCTCTCTCTCCTCTCCCTGTCTCTCATTCTTCTGGGTGGTCCGAGGTAGAAGGAACAAGACCAGCTGGGACTTACGTTCTTCAGTATCCTGCGAGCTGCAGGGGAATCCGGAGTAAAGAGGATTTTCCCCATCAGCAGAGGCTTTGCTGCCCTCCAGGCTATTTTGGTGAGAGGGTTGGACTCCAGGCTGTGGATCAGCGCATTGCAAAAGGTGGCTGCCAGGAGAGAGGTGACAGATTTTATAGAAACTCCCAGTTGCTCAGAGCTAAACATGGTCATCAGTGTGTTCAAATCACATGTCTTATTCAACTCTATGCAGGATTTGACAAAGAACATAAATTAAAAGCTGTATGTACCCCACCAATAACAAGCTCATCATTAGTAAGTAACAAAATGCCACAGTTCATCTCAGTAAGGGCCTCGTCAGAGAAACAAAGGATGGGGCTCGCCCTGTGGTTTCTTCTAAAGCAGAAGGCCGAGAAGCCTGCTTATGAGTATTGCAAGGGACAGAGGCCATTCTCAGATGAGAGGGACCGAGAGGCCACACACGGCCTCCCCTTAGAATCTCAGCCTTAGTCTCAATGATTTCCCTTCAATTAGCTGCTTAACTTCTTGGTTGTGTGTGGCTGTTTCCAGGCCCAAAGACTTCTGGCGTACGCCTCGCTGCCTCTTTAATGTTTAACCTGAGGGTCACCCAGTTGCATTTCTTCCCCACTCCACTCCCCTGTACCCCGTAGGGGCCAAAAAGAAAAAGAAAAAAAAAAGACATTGAAAGGTGGGAAAGAGAACTTGCCAGGGACTTGCCATTGGGAACATAATTCGGTACTAGACACACAGATTTTCATTGCATTGTGTTTGTAAAAACACCCCACAACCCTGTGTACTTGCCAGGGCCCTTCTGACCTGAGCTTGGCTTGCAGCGCTGGCTGCCTCCTCATTTGTCTTTCTTCTCTCCCTCTAGAACGTAACCCTAGTTCAATCAGATCAGTGGGGGATGTCCTCTCTGTTCTCCTTCCAAGTGGATCTCAGTTCTTTCCATGGCTCACATCCAGCACTCTGGAGGCGCACCTCCCCCTTTCTATAAGGGGAACATTTTTTCTGGGAGGAGACGCTCAACAAGACCGAGGGAGAGTCAACCCTGTCCGGTTCTACCTGAAAGTGTCAAACCGCCGGCTTGACTGACAGCAGCGCCTGATTTACGTACAGAGGGCTCAGAAAACTCACTTGTGCTTTTGTCATACGAATAGACAGGATCTTTCCTCGCAGAGTCAATCCCCAGGAAGGCCTTGTAGTTATTGTCTTCATACCAGTTGAAGGAGAACACCTGGGAGCCTCCTCCCTCTGGGTAGCCACACAAGAGGTCAGACAGGACGCCCGTCAGCTGTGTGAAGGTCTCTGGACCACCAGTCTGCACGAGGGGCCTGGCCACCCACAGCAAGTCTTGGACACTTGGTCGATGGATGAACTGGGGCAAGGCAAAGATTTCGCTTATCTTAAGGCAGCCACAGTCATGATCTACTGTGAAATCAAGTTCCAAAGCATCGGAGAGATCTCCACATATGTACTTTACTCTCACATGTAAAAGAAAACATCCACATTCTCAGCAAACTTAAACCCTACTGCCAGCGACTCGGAGCCTAAGAGGGAACTAAGATAAGCCTTGAAGAACATCAAAGAGTGAACCCCGACTTATTTTAATATCACTTCTCTCTTCTAGTCCTCTTTACTTGAATTCCTTGGGAATATGTCTTTGGGGAAATGTAGAGAATACGTCTCTGTAAGCAGTTCTTGGGGTCTGTTATTCCACCAAGATAGGGATACTGGAGAAAAATGGGAAATAAAGTGATAGAGGAATGGCTCTGTCCTAGAAGGGTAAGATCAGAGCAAAGTTCTTCAGCCAAACAGTTTAGGATTTAGTTTCTTATAGTGAGAAAATTAGCTTCTCATCAATTTAATTTTATCAAATGTGAACTTGTCCATTTTCCTGAAATGTGTGATTTGTGCGTGTGCGTGTGTGTGTGTGTGTGTGTAAGATCCAAGCAAATACAAAATGGATGATGTCTCCATGTTTGGAAAAACGCTTCTTAAGAAGAACACCACTTTTTAACTCTGCACCCAACGAAGAAGAGGCCGGCGGTCTCCTTTCCGGATGGGGGCCTGTGGTACCCTCTGGCCTCATCCTTTGAAGGTAGCTCTGCAATGCTTCGAACTAAGTCAAGGGCTGCCGGAGTTGCCAGGGTCTCAGCTCCCACAGTGCCATCTGACTTTGCTTTGAGGGAAAATCCAAAATAAAACAATGCCGCTTTTATTCCCCTACCACACATTACTCATTTTCAAAGGCACTTGGGAATTTAAAAAACCATTAGGATTCAATCAGGTGAGACTGAAAACAGTTCCCCTCCTGCAGTAAGTGATGTTTACCTGTCATCCCCTCTCTTTGTCCACATGCCAACACTCGCCCTCTGAAACCACCGAGCGCCCAGTAGAATCCACACAGTGAGTCATGCCTATAATCACAGTCTAGGCTTCAATAATAAAGTCGGCATCTCAAACCGCTTCCACAACAGTATGTCTTATTGCAGTCTTGTAAGGGGTTATTATTATGTTGCTCATTGAATCCAAGCACTCAGAGATGAAGGGGCTGTTCCAGGGTCAAATGGTCCAGTATCAGTTCACGTAAACGGGGCCATCTGCTTCACCCTAGTTCATCAAAGCTTAGACTTGCTATCTAGACAGGCAAGAAACCTTCCAGCACTCCCACATATGATTTGGGAATTTTTTTTTTTTTTTTTTTACATTCTCAATCAACATCCACCCTATTATACTGATATGAATGTTTTAAATGCTTGTAAATAAAAGAATGTTAAACAAAGACTCCCGGCACAGCAGGTGGCCATCAGGACGACGGGCCCTTCTCTAACTCTCCCTGCACAGTCCCCCCCCCCCCCAACCTTCTCTGCTTCCTCTGCCTAGCGCGAGCTCAGCTTTATGAAAATAGATTCCAACCATACAATTTTGCAGCTTGGCTAAGCCCAAATCAGCTGAGACTACAGGAGGGGCAAAAAAGTTTAGGAAAAAGTATGTTTCATCTTTTGCCACCCTTATGATACTCCTCCTCCTTACAAGTAATTGTTTATTTCACATCCCTCTTCCCCATTGGGCTGCATGTTTCACAAGGGCAGTGACCATATCTGTTCATCCGTGTGCCCCCAGCACTTCTCATTTATTGAGTGGAAGATCGATTTCTATATGGGCAAATGCTCATGCAACCAGATGCTAATAAAAACATGCACCTCTTTCACACAAAAAGTCAATTACTTTCATTGTGATGAAATGAGTCAATATACGTAAGACACTTAGTCCTGCAGGGACTCTATAAAGGTGTGCTACTACTGTTGTGGTATAGATTAACGTCGATTTCAAGAGCACAGTGGAATAACAGACCACCTCAGTACTAGAAACACTTAGAGTCCACTGATAGTGAGTCCACTGATAATCTGTGCCACACCAACCAAATCCACATGTCTTCTTGGGTGTGACATCAGAAGGATGAGTCCCTACTTTTTGCCTCTGACTCAGGAGCACAGGTAATTTAGGATATAAACAAGTTCTTTGAAACTGCTGGATGGAAAGATCAAATGTATTTCTCCATGAACAGGTTTGAAGTACAATTAAATTGTTTGACATAATAAGCATAGTAAATTGGTGGAAAGATAAAGTTAAATTATAATTAACTGTCATCAGGCCACTTACCTCTTGGATTCTTGGTGACGTATCAGATAATATTCTTGCCCAGGATCTCAGATTGATACCTTGAGAACTGCTGTCTAGGAGTGTAGGAAGCTGTAATTGATGGGAAAATGTTTTTTAAAATACACACATAGTTATATATTTACACATAGGCGCTATCTGATCTGTGTGCTTGAAAAACATGTCTTCCCTTCTTTCCCATCACAGAACCCTTTCTGCAAGATCACTTTCAGAAACAAACTTCTTTTACCTAATTGAGAAAATCAAAGGCTCTTACTGCGAGTCACCCTGCTGAGCTAGTCAATCACAAATAGTTTCACTGTGACATGAAATACACCAAATGATTCTGATTGTTGGTTTAGTGACAAGACTCCTGACGGGGGGAAAACAGAGCGTCAAGGAAGGGGGTGTCCATCTGTTCCCTTTGGGCCTCATATACACCCCCAGCTTTCTCAACAGTGTTCACGTCTTTGTGTCCGTAACGCAGCTTGTGTGGCTTCCTCTGTTCAACACCACTTTCCTTTTTAATTTTTTTCTTTATTTACTTTAGAGAGAGAGGAAGGGAAAAGGAGAAAGAGATGGAAACATCAATGAGAAAGAACATCGATTGGCTGCCTCCTGCATGCCCCTCACTGGGGATTTGGCCCACAACCTGGGCATGTGCCCTGACCGTGAATCAAACTGGTGACCTCTTGGTGCATGGGTCGACGCTCAACCACTGAGCCACATCGGCTGTTCAACACCGCTTTCTTATGTAAAAAATTCAGCCAGTTACATCACCTTGCTTTCAAGCACCTGGGCTGAGGGTGGCTTGGAAGAGAAAAAAGTCCCCTTGCGGATTCTTCAGTGAGAACAGAGTTCTGGTGACTCCAGGCCCATGTGACAACACAGAATGTCCATGCGTCTTCCTCAGTGGTGGGGAATGTGGATGTCCGCTTGCTGGTTCTCAGTCCCAGAGCCCGTTGCAAACACCTTGTTTTCCGGAAACCAAGTTCGAGTCCTGAATGAATGACTTCGTTCTTCGTAGCTTCAAAACTGCTTGAATCACTGATTCAATTTTTTCCAGGATTGAATTCTTAGTTTTAAAACTGGTTTCCTAACTCAAGTGTGCATTTTGGCTAGGCCCAGAGGGGATCTGCATTTTAACAAGCTGGGCATGTAATTCTGATTCAAATACTTGTGACCACAAGCCACAAACTCAGCATCTTACTTGCCAGCGCGGTTCCCCTAATGATGGGTGGGTGGATCCAGCTGCAGCAAAGCGGAGAAGCAGGTGCAGTTAGACTCCGACCAGCCTTGCCTCTCACTTCTAGCAATAAGTCTTGCTCCCCTTTCTCCTGCTTCAGGTCCAAGGATGCATTCTCTCACCCTGAAGCTGAAGAATAACTGTAGGCACACTCATGGAGCATTTGAGGCTTATTTTCTGACTCTAAAATGAAAGGCTTGTGGTGCATGACAGCTACACAGCAGACAGGAGGAGACTTTTCCAGGCTCAGGAGGAGCAAATCCACCATTGAAACTGTCCCACTGAGAAGTATCTTTTCTCCCTGACCTTAACACTGGGCCTAGCGTTGGTCTTGCCATGACTTACTTCAATCGCCTTACAAAGAGCTTCAGTGTATGCTGGGAAGAGCACTTTAATTCCTGTTTTGCCCATGGGAGGGTGGGGCTGAGAAGACTTGGTAGAAAGAGATGAAGAGAGCAGGTGAAAAATGTTTGCCAGAGGTAAGTTGTCCAAATCCTGTGGATTCTTCTCCTAACTTTCAGAATTAAGATCATTCACGTAACAGAGAGCTGTCCCCTGGTAAGTTTAGATGCCAATCTTTTCTCTATGGCCCCTTCTTGCCCTTGTCCTGTTCTGTTCTTCCAGGGCACTGTGTCTCTTTCCCTCCCTGCACTCTTCACCACTGCGAATTATTCTGCCATTTACTTGCCATCTGTCTCTCTTGGTAGATGCTAAGGTCCATGCAGAGAGGAACCATGTCCTATATACATATAATTTGATGAATAAATGCTCTTATTATAGCAACAAGCAGACTGCCTATAATTGTTTATGTACAGGATACTCCATAAAATGATACGATCATTTAGGGCACTGTATTAGTCAGGGATCTCGGAGAAACAGATCCAATAGATGTATATGTTTTATATATTATATATAGCAGGTCCTTGAATAACATTTCAGTCAATGTTCAATGTTGTTTTATTAAATGTTTTTTTGTTATAACATTGATGCAATGTTATAGGAACTTAACTCTTATTTATATCAGTCTATGGTAAATTGGTTTTGTTATATGTTTTTTGCTTAAAGTCACAGAACCTATCAACAATGTTAAGTGAGGACTTACTATAATATATATATGATATATATATATTATAAAATGAATGTGTGTTTGTGTATGCAGAGATTTATTATAGCGCTGGCTGGTTTGGAGCATCATCCCATGGTTCAGTTCCTGGTCAGGGCACAAACCGAGGTTGTAGGTTCAGTGCCCAGTTGGGTGCATACAGAAAGCATCGGATGGATGTTTCTTTCTCACATCAATGTTTCTCTCTCTCAAATCAATAGAAACATATTCTTGCATGAGGATTTTTTTTTATCCTCATCCGAAGACATTTTTCCATTTTTTGTTCAGACAGAGTGGGAGGGAGAGAGAGAAACATTGACGTGAAAGGGACACATCGAGTGGTTGCCACCCGCATGACCAACCAGGGCCGAGGACAAACTGCAACCGAGGTACATCCCCTTAGCGGGAACTGAACCCGGGTCTCTCTAGACCGCAGGCTGACACTCTAACCACTGAGCCAAACTGGTCAGGGCAAGGATTTTTTTTTAAAAAGTAGAATTTTAAAAAAAGAATTGGCTTATCCAAGTTTGGAGGCCGGCAAATCCCAAGGTCTGCAGGGAGAGTGGGCAGGCTGGAGACCCAGGAGGAGCTGATGCCACAGTTTGTGAAGAAGCCAGTGTCCCTGCTCAGAGACAGGTGGGCAGGAAGGACTCTGTCCGACTGGGCGGAGGGTCAGCCCTTTTGTTCCATTCAGGGCTCTGACTGGATGAGGCCCACTCACGTGGGGGAGGACAATCCGCTTTGCTCAGTCTATCGATTTAAATGTTAATATCCATCAAAAACACCCAGGATGATGTCTGACCAGTATCTGGGGCCTCCAGAGCATTTGCGAATGATCGCTTCAGGAGGAAAACAAAACCCACTGTTTGTCAGCATTCTGTTACTTCCAGCCGATTGCGATCTCAGAGACAGTTACACACTTTGACAAATGTGTGCTGTCCGCCATGGGCAGGTGCTGGGAGTACAGCAAGGAGCCAAGCAAAGCCCTTTCCGAAGCTCCCCTTCAAGAATCCCACTGATGTTTCTTCAGCCTTCCCATCATTATTGTCACGTATATGCACTCAAAACGCTCACATATGAAAGAAAAAACTCTGATCTCTCATCTTGCTGTAGCTACAGTTTAACCTCCCTGCATTTTCACACTTCTTAGACTAGTCCACGCAGGACTTCACTTTTTCACCAACCCCTCCCTATTTTCCACCCTCACCACGCTATTCAGAAGCTTTGACTAGAACCCTCCATTTCAGACTAGTTTTTAAGTCTAATAGACATTTTGGGTTCTTATCTTTTCAGACTTCTCTGCTTAGTATTGTTATTATTTTCTTTTACTGATGTTAGAGAGAGAGGAAGGGAGAGGGAGAGAGAGATAGAAACATCAATGAGAGAGAACATCGAGTGGCCGCCTCCTGCATGCCCCCCACTGGGGATTTGGCCCACAACCTGGGCATGTACCCCGACTGGGAATTGAACCGGCGACCTCTTGGTGCGTGGGTCAAAGCTCAACCACTGAGCTACACAGGCCAGGCTCTTGACACTTTTGATTGTGTCTTTTTCCTTCCTTGACAGCTCTGTCATTGCTCTCCTCTGGCTTGCTCTGTTCCTTCTCTGCCTTTCCCCCCAGCTCCTCTGCCTCCACCTTCCCCTCCAGTGCCGAGGTGCCTGGGGGCTCCACACCACCTCCTCTCACTCTGCACACTTTCCCTGGTAGTCTCGTTCCCTTCATCATTTAATCTGCTACTTTTCTGTGGATGACCTCTAAGTCTGCATCTCCAACCCGGACCTCTCCCCATGAGCTCCAGACTCATACACCCAACTGTCTGCTGGACCTCTGCCCAGATCCAATTATCCTGAACCAATCACACCACCCTCCCTCGAACCAGCCTCTTTTCTGCGCACTCTTTTCCAGTTGGTGGCACCACCTTCTGCCAGTCACCACAGCTGGCAGCCGGGCAGCCGTCCTTGATCTTTCCCCATTTCACTTCCATTTCAGAATTCCCAGCCTGGAGATCTAAAACCTGGAGCCATGTCCAGTGTGGGGCAGCAGGAGCCCTCTGGAGCCCAAAGAAGCTGTGCAGGGGGGAAAACAATCAGGTCCTAGGGGAGGGGAAGGCACTTACAAGGGGCTGGGATCCCAGAGGCACAGAAAGTACAGAACTGTCACATGCATGTCTCCAGAGACTGGACATCAATGCATCAGTCATCAGCTCTATCTCTTTTAATTTCTTCCCCTTCTCTGTGAGATTGTCGTCTGTTCTCCTGACTTTACTGTGGGCCGGAGATGGTCTGTGGCTGTGTTCTGCCTAGAAGGGCATCTTCTCTCTCCATTCCCTCTCCTTCACCTCCACTGGCTCTGCTCACACTGGTCTGAAATCTCAGTCCTGCATCAAATTCAGCTCATTGAAAAGCACCTGTTCTCTATCCAGAGCTACATGTACTGATATCTATCTACTAATACAGATAGATATCTACATGTACATTTTTAAGGCTCTTAATTTTGTTTTTGCAATTTAATTGACCTTGAAGAATCTATTTAATAAATAATCTGGTGTGATTTCTCAGCAATCATTGCAAATACTTAGGACTGTTTGTAAAATGGGAAAATCTGAACTATAAACTAGTTTCTGAATTTCAGAATTTATGAATGTTTAATTGAACAGTAAAGTTTAATATTACCTTCCTTAAACATTCAAGTTAATGTTTATTCGTTTTCATTCTAAAGTTTTTCTTTGTATTTTAGAGCCATAT